TTAGTGAATGGTAACATCTTTTGAATAGTTGAAGTCAGGAGCTTGGGCATCATCTTTGACTCTTTATTCTTAGGTTGTATTTGATGAATTATCAAGATTTTACCTCTTGAATATTTTCTGAATCTTTCAAAATTTCTCCCGTCACTATTATAACTTGAGGCACATTCAGCTCTCACCTAGTGTACTTGCCTCTAGTCCTGTCCTCCTCCCACTTATTCTTTCATACTGCATGGAATGATCTTTTCCACCTTTTAAAATCCTGAGGCAGCATCCCATCATCTTGATAATAAAGAGGAGGTCCTCGAATAATTTCATTTCGTTCAATTTTCATTGTAACGGTGAGGGAAAAACCGGTTCCTGGCTGGGCCGTTGTTTATATGGAGTTTTCACGTTTTCATGTCTGTGTGGATTTTCTCTGGGTACTCCAGTTTCTTCCCACATCCCTGGTATATGCATGTGAGGTGAAGTGGCATGTCTAAATTGTCCCTATCTGAGTGGGTATGAGTGTGTGAGTGTATCCTGTCTCAATAAGATGGCAATCTGTCCCGGACTGGTTCCCACCTGGCACTCTGACCTGCTGGGATAGGCTCTGGCCACCTGTGACCCTGAAGTGGAATAAGTGGGTAAATAATTATGTTACTTGCTGTTAGTAATTTTTCTTAAATGTGTGTGTAGCTCACATTAATTTCAATGTTTAATAGTAGAAGTGTTTTTTTTTTTTTTTTTTAAGAAGTTTGGTGATGTTTTTGTGACCATAAATATGCTATAGGAACTTTAACTCTTGTTTATATCAATTAACCTGTGTTAAAATTGATTTCCTTACACATCGTTTCAGTTTCACTTAAAGTGGAAGTTTCCAAGAACCTATCTTGGAACTTATCCAGAACCTTAAGTGAGGACTTTTTTTTCTTTTTTTTTTAAGACAAGATTCTCACTCTGTCACCCTGGGCAGAGTCCAGTGGTGTCATCATTAGCTCACTGCAACCTCAAACTCCTGGGCTCAAGCTCCTAGCCTCAAGTGACCCTTCCACCTCGGCCTTCCAGAGTGCTAGGATTATAGGCGTGAGCCACCATGCACAGCCCCTAAGTGAGGACTTAGTTCAGATTCCCTAACCAGGCTAAGATAGCTCTCTATCATTTGCCTTCTGCTAACCTTGCTATTTTAACTTTTACCACTCTGACTACCTTTCCTCCCTTCCATGCTAAACTTAATGTCTTTTTAGTTCCTCAGATGCTCTGTGCTCTCCATTGCCTTCTGGCCTGCTCATACACTGTTCTTTCCTATTAGGACACTTTACCTATTCCCTTCTCTGCACCTTGCTAACTCTCATTTATTCTTTGTCTCAATAGAGATGTCACTTTCTCTGTGAAGTGAGCCTGATTTGCCTTACCGCCACTGAGTTTATATTAGCTACACTTCTTGTGTTAGACATCCTGGTGTTTTCTACTTAAAGCACATATCATAAAAATTTTAAAAGGTGAGAGGTATGATATATGTAATATATGAGGTATGATATATGTAATAAATGGCATCTCTCTCTCTCTCTCTCTCTCTCTCACCAGGAAACCATTGATTCGCTTTTTCTATAGATTAGTTTGAATTTTCTAGGAGTTTATATATATATATATATATATATATACACTGCACTTATTTCATATCTGGCTTCTTTCAGGCAGAATTCGAAATTGATAGATGTTTTTGTGTGGTAGTGATTTCTTTTTATTGCTGAATAGTATTTCATTGTTTATTCATTTGCCTTTTGGTGGTTATTTGGGTTATTTCCAGTTTTTAGATATTTATTTCACTGAATTTTAACTGCCTAATTATTTTCTATATTCTTCTGTAAAGTGTACAGCACTCTGAGAGCAAAAGACAATCTCGTGTTAGCATTTGTATACCTAGCCCCAGCTTGGTATTAGCAGGTTCTTAGTAAATGTTTATGGAAATAATGAGTGAATGAACATTTATCATAATGTTAAAGAGCCAAAAGGCAGTATTATTTCAAATAATACAAATACAAATTTACATTGAACGAGGAGTTTCATTAAGGAACAGTATTCATTCAGTTTTTTAGTTACTTAGGTTGATTTTTGTGGACATATATTGCTAGAACAGTTTACTTAAAAAGTTAAATACCTGTTTTCACCTTCTTTAACTTTGAATGTCACTTTAAAATTTGTGTTTTTTGATATTATAGTAAGATAATCAGCTTTTAGGAGTAAAAAGTTTCTTTAAGAAACATCGTTTTTAATTGTTTATGCCAAAGATCCCCAAACTTTCTTAGTTTATAACCCCCTTATTGTCTCAGTCATTATTTCATGGTGCCCCTAGACCAAAATAACTTAACAAGTGTTTATAATCTTAATGGTTTAGCCATTTTAATAGTACACAGATACTGAAAGAAAAGTATGTTATTCTTAACCACAGTTATACTAATGGGATGGGTATATCTTTTAAGTACTGCGTAACTCTCAAACCTTGGAATTTAGTTGGTTACCAGTATTCTATTTCCTGTTCCACATTGATTTTTGCACGATACTTGCTTTGTATCTTAGCAACTTCCCCAAATCCCACTTTGCAAATATGTGACACCATCAAAAGAAATTAGAGGCTGGAGTGGCTCATGGCTGTAATCCTAGCACTTTGGGAGGCTGAGGTGCAAAGATCACTTGAGGCTAGAAGTTGGAGACCAGTCTGGGTAATGTAGTGAGACCCTATGTCTACAAATAGAAAAATTAGCAGGGCATGGTGGTACATGCCTAGTCCCAGCTACTTGGGAGGCTGAGGCAGATAGATAGCTTGAGCCCAGGAGGTTGAGGTTGAGGTTGTAGTGAGCTTTATTGGTGCCACTGCATTGTACTCTAGCCCAGGCAACAGAGACTCTGGGAAAAAAAAAAAAAAAAAGACATGTAAAGGCTGCACACTGGCTTGTGCCTGTAATCCCAGCTCTACTTACGAGGACGAGGAGGGAGGATCACTTGAGGCCAGGAGCGTGAGACCAGCCTGAGCAACATAGAGAGACCCCATCTCAAAACAAAACAAAACAAAAACCCCAGAAATGTAGAGCAACCTAATGTTCAAATTTGTGAACTACATTAAGCTAATAGTTCCCTTGGGTCTCACATGTTGAATATTTCCCTTAAACATTTAAAATATCTTGTGTTTCTGGGAGTTTGGTGACCATGGATCTATACAAAAGGCATGCAACAGTTGAAGTTAAGACAGTGTCTTAATTTCTGCTGATTCTTTTCTTAACCTAATTTTTCAACCTGAAATAGAATACTTTGCAGTACATTAAAAAAACTAGCAAATTATCAGTTACCAGTTCTCATGTATTTGAAAAATGTGTGTTGTGTAAGTATCCTTTTTAGAAGATAATTTTGAAATATCTACACACAGTAGTACTTAAGATATTAGTATTACATTGTAAAATATGAGGTTAAGAAAAGTATACTTGCTATATCAAGTTAAAATTGTTAATTTTAATATCAAATGTGTGAGGTAGGAATTGTGTTTCATTCCCTACCCCATAAATATGGCACATTAGTTTTTCATGCACCATGTATTTTAAGATTCCATCATTCCTCATCTTTTCTGGTGTAAATTAAGTTTGTCTGTTTATGGACTCTCTATTTCATTTTGTTTATCAGTATGTTTTTATGCCAGTACCAAACTGTCTAATTTATTGTTTCATTCTTGTTTTGTTTTATATTTTGGTTAAGAAAGAAAGTCCCTCCACTTTCTTTTTTTTCTTTTTCTTTTTTTTTGTTTCATTTTTGAGACAGAGTCTCCCTCTGCCACCCATGATAGAGTGCCATGGTGCCACCCAAGCTAACAGCAGTCTCAAACTCCTGGGCTCAAGCGATCCTCCTGCCTCAGTCTCTGAGTAACTGGGACTACAGGCACACACCACCATGCCTGGCTGATTTTTCTGTTTTTAGTAGAGATGAGGTCTTGCTTTTGCTCAGGCTGGTCTCAAACTCCTGAGCTCAAGCACTCCTCTAGCCTCTGCCTCTCAGAATGGTAGGATTACAGGCATGAACCACTGCATCTGGCCTCCACTTTCTTTTCCTTGAAGTATTTTGGCTCTTCTTGGCTTTTTATTCTTCTATATAAATTTAGAAACATCTTATTAAATTGCTACTCCAAATCTTTTACATATTTACTGCATTGTTATTACTATATCAGTCTTAGGGAGAATTGGTATCTTTATGATACTGGGTTTTCAGTCTCTGAGCATAGCATAACTTTGTTTTATTTGTTTTCTTTCATGTCTTCCGGTAAAATTTTAGGTTTTTTTTTTTTCCCTACTGGTTCACATAAATTATGTTATACCTGTGACTTAGAACAGGGGCTATCAAACTATAGTCCACAAGATAAGTCTAAACACCTCCTGTTCTTATAAGGCCCATGAGCTAAGAATGCTAGCTACGAATTTTATAAATGGTTGGGGAAAAAAATAATATTTCATGATATATAAAAATTATGAAATTAAAATTTTAGTGTCCATAAATAAAGTTTTATTGGAACATAGCTATGTTCACTCACTTAAATATATAACTGTGTTAACACTGTATGTGGCAGAGTTGACTGTTGTAATGGAGAGTTTATGGCCTACAAATTGTAAAATATTTACAATATTTGCAATCTGGCACTTGATAGAAAAAGTTTGTCCATCCCTTACTTAGAATTACTGTTTGTCTTATTGTTGGTCTGTGTATCTCAGCATTTCTTTTTATGTTGGGGTGGGTGGTGGGGGTGGGGTTTCAGCCTCCCTTTCTTTTCCTTCCTTCTCCAGTTCTGATAAGACTTAAACTCATAATGAGTCACTGTTACAAAATGTGTTGCATTGTTTCGTTATATTTGCGCAGAGCAAAAGGTTGAAAAGTATTGAGTGATTTATATAGTAATCACGATAGCTGTTTTTTTGATATTTTACATTTGAGAATTTGATTTAAATAAAATATAACTTGGCCTTTGTTGATTTCCTCTTTTGTAGGAAATTAAAAGAGAGACAGAATCCAAGGATGACAATTTGCCCATCAAACGGGAGAGGCATGGGAATGTAGCAAGTCTTGTACAACGAATAAGCACCTATGGACTTCCAGCTGGAGGAATTCAGCCACATCCACAAACCAAAAACATTAAGAAGAGTATGTAAATAATTCTTTTCCTGTGTGATTACATCAAAATAGAGGGATGTTTTTAGCTATCCATAAATTAAGAAAAATTAGTTCAACCTTTTATAGCAGACCACAGTAACTTACTGCTTATTTTTGTTACTAGTATTGGCCTATGTAGTCAATCTTAATTTTTAGTCATATGTAGTCAATAGCATACTGATAATCCAACATGAGTAGCTGGCAGCCATCTGTAGGAATTTTAAATTAAAATATAAGGCATTGTTTTCTTAATCATCTTACAGACTCTGTTGAATGGTTAAACTGTAACTGTATTTGAATATAATCTTTTAATGGGATGCTAAAATGTCTGCTGGTTCTTAGCAGCATAGATGTGAGAATTTTGATAGTGCTTTTTCTTTAGTTGTTAGACATCTAAACATAAACATTCTGTTTTCATGATGGTTGGCTCAACAGAGTGCCCTTTAGGGATTTGGTACTGTGTAAATACCTTAGGAGAACAACTTGGCAGAAAGGGAGAGCGTTACATTTGAAATCAGATATGGGTTTGAGTCAGTCTTATGATCTCAGAAAGATCATTTAAACTCTCTTGAATTGTATTTTGCTGCTGGTGAGAAAGTGGTTAAAAAAAAAAGGACAGGTAACAATTGTTGTTCTCAACTTACAGTCTTGGGGGAAAAAACTTGTTATTAAAAAAGTACAAAATACTAAACATGTACAAAGATGTCCAGTTTTTATGAGGCACAAATAGCAAGTGTTTTAACATAGTAAAACCTGAAGTCTCTTGAGAGATTGCATACTTACTGTGATCACTTTGATTTAATAAGTAGTAATGAGTATTTAACCACATTTACCTTAGATTAGTGTTTTTGAAATTATGGTGTGTAAACCCCTATGGTACCAAGTGGTGTGCAATAAAGAAATTTTGTTTACATGTATTTTCCAAATTGTAAATATAAGATAGTAATGATTTTTATGGAGTCCTCTTATATCTGTACCTGTTACTTGCTGTGCTGCTGTCTGTCAAGTTTGGGAAAAGCTCTACTTTTCGGGTTATATTATCCTTTGATTATTTTCATAAAATGAAAACAGATTTTCATAAAAATGAAACAGACTTCATGACATCAAGATAGACCAATTAAAGTGTTTTATTTGTCTCTTTCCCAGAAAATGCAATGTCCAAACAATTTTTGGATATTACCCACACTGCTTTCAGCCTCACTGCCCAAAGGTGGATAGTTTCAGCAGTTCTAATGATCTTGGACTCCGAAACTGTTTGCTTGGAGATTGTGGGACAAATAATAGAGGTCTGCACCCTACAGCTGAATCTTTATATAGGGTTTCTGTGTGTGGGAAGAATTTTTAGATCCATAGAAGAGTTATTCATGACCTCTGCCCATAGTAAAATCCATTTACAGCTTGCTTTCACTCTTTGGAGTTATAAAGGGATAAGTTTCTTCTTAGGTAGAGACTAGACAAAGAGGTTCAAAGTTCTGAATATTTTATTCATTTTATCTTGTAATAGGAAAGGACACAGTAAATTTTACCTTTCCTCAGAACACTGAGCATAATTCTTTTTCTTGTAAGAAGGAAAAACTATTATAGTTGGTGCCAGGAGGCTTAGGCTTTTTTCCCTAAGGATCCTCCATAACTTGTTTTTAAGTACATGTGCTACAAGGACTAAATTGGTCATTTGATGTCAGCTAACATTTAAAATAGGAAGCAGGTTGTTTTTGTTTTCCTGTTTTATCATTTATGTATTATATGTTTATTAAATCTGATTTTTAAAATTGTTAGTTACAGTTATTTAAAAATGGTTCATTATATTGTTAAATAGTAGTAGATACAACTAACCAATAATATTAAGAAAACAAAATTAAACCCCTAAACCATTGTAAAGGTTGACAGTACAAACACTACAGTGTATGTGTTTTTTTTGTTGTTGTTTGTTTGTTTGTTTTTGAGACAAATCTCACTCTGTTGCCCAGGCTAGAGTGCCGTGGTGTCAGCCTAGCTCACAGCAACCTCAAACTCCTGGGCTCAAGCAATCCTCCTGCCTTAACCTCCCAAGTAGCTGGGACTACAGGCGTGTAGCACCATGCTTGGCTAATTTTTTCTATTTTCAGTAGAGATGGGGTCTTGCTCTTACTCAGGCTGGTTTCAAACTCCTGACCTCAAGCGATCTTCCCTCCTCAGCCTCCCAGAGTGCTAGGATTACAGGCGTGAGCCACCGCGCCCGGCCTGCAGTGTGTATGTTCGATTTAAACCTCTGTGTACCAAGACAAAGTGAATCTGTGTATGTGTTTTTGTCAAAGCATCTAAAAAGCAGAGGTTCAGATAAGTAGTATGATGTTGGCAATCTAAAAAATGGATTGGACTAGTGAGCTGTTTTTCTCTAGTCCCCAGTGTGTAGTCATGAAGCCATTGAAAGTTTTACTATTATGTATTACTGAGCATGGTGACTTCTCTGGTAAAACAAACAAGTATTTACTAGAGCAGGCACAGAATAGTATTGTCCAGGAAGAGTTGATTACTATAAGTTGCTGAAGTCAGAAAAGAGAATGAATTTACATTTATCAAGGCAAAAACAGGTATAAGTCACTTTACTTCTGACACCCTTATAAATTTAGCCACAAAGATAATGGTAAAGTATTGTGCTTACAGAGTAAAGAATTGACATTTGTCAGCATCATACCTCTAAATGAAATTCAGAGTGGAATATTAGTAGATATTTTACTTTACATTTGGAAGAAATTGATGCCACATGAACTCTACTCTGAGTATACATGTGGGAAGACATAGCTAACTTTGTTTTCTTTATTAGTGGAAACTCATGCTGTAGAGGAAGTGATTTTTCATCTAGTTCATAATTGTCTTGAATGTAAAAGATACACTGAGATTGGTACTGATATTATAGATCACTAGTATGTGTACCAAAAGGAATGACGTTGCACTTAAAAAATTAGTTGACAGAATGCTAATCTACACATTTCTTCATTCCCCCCCAAATTTGGTAGCAAGTAGTATGCCTTCTGATTTTGACTCAGTGCTGAAGAAAATAGTAAAATTCTCAATACTGTCAAATTATGGCACCAACTATGTATCTTTGCAGCATACCTTTTTAAAAATGGGCACAGTAAATAGTTCAGGCTCTGCTCTTTGGCATTGAAATATTCTGACTTTTGAGGGGAAAAAGACTATTCAAATGACTCCTCCCTAGTTCAGCCTCTCAAATGAATGGGGCAGGGTGTTCAAACTTCCTGTTTTGTTTTGAAAAATTTTAAATCTCTAGAAAAGTTAAAGGAATACTTGTGCAATGAACATGGTGTATATCCTTCACCCAAGTTTGCTGTTAACATTTTGTTGCATTGGCCTTATCTTTATGTACATTTATAAATAACTTTTTAAAAACTGAGTCATTTGAAAGTATGTTGCAGGTAACTTCATTACAGTGGTTAAGATTTTCCAAGATTTTAAGAGTCTTAATCAAATGGTATATCAGCATTATACCTAGTATCTTGAATAGCTTCATTTAATGGCCTAAGGAATATGATATTTTTACTGCTGAGGATGAGAAAAAAGTTTTTAGAGATTCAACCATATAGCAAATGGCTGAATTACTGTGTTTCCTAACATTTGATGATTTTCTTTGCTAATTGGTGAAAGAAATTGATAAAAATTTTGACTAGTTAAATAAATTTAAATACTTCAATAGAACCTGAAGGATATACCTTCCAGAGCCAAGTGGAGCCCAGCAGTGGATCAGAAATTCTTTTGCTGTTGTCTCTGAAGTTGTAGCATTCTACCTCCCAGCTTCTGAGTAGAATATGCTCTTATTTTAAGATTTGATGGAAAGATTAAAAACAATCTTCAGGGAGAAATCGTTCCATAATTTAAGAGCTCTGTTTTGATCTGAATACTTAGACCTATTTTTCAGACATGAAATACTTAACCATTCTTGATGATCTGCATTTGAAAATTAAGGATTTTCTGTTCTAGTAGAGAAAGAACAAGGCAGGTTCACACCTTATGGGTGTGAAATTTCATACGATTTGGTTTTGTTTTTAAAAATATAAAACTTTAAAAAATTTTTCCAAAATTTTTGGACTCTTATGTGTTTAATGCCTTAATATCTGTGGGTGCCATGATCATGAGAAACAGTATTGGTGTAGGCAATTAAATCTGCCACATAAAGCTGGGAATGGATCATGATTCAGAAATCAGGGCTGAACATCAAGTTACTACAAAGTAGGGAGGATAGTAATAATTATCTCATAGGATATTAGAGGTATTAACATGCTAAGTAATTATAAGTGCTTGATAAATGCTTATAATTATTATAATAGTGTTTATTATTCAGAATTGTATTACAGACATACATAACAGGCAGTGATGATTTAGATGAAGGGGCAGTTTTATACTGGGGTTGTCAAGCAAGGCATATAATTCACATGAAGATTGGGGAGTATAGCTTTCCAGGTAGAATTGCAACCTTTGGCAGACCCACAGAAATAAGCAAGTACAGGGTATTTTAGGGGAATAAAGATCCAGTGTGACTAGACTGCCTGAGCTATGTTAAAGCAATTTGTAATCTGTAAAGGAATAGCATGCTATAGAAGAAAGATAAAAGCTTTAAAGTGATTATAATGTACCAGGAGTGGGTATAATTTTAGATTTGCTTCATTTTAGCTTTATAATTTTGGACAGATTATTTAACTTCTGAGTTTCTTCTTATTTGTAATGAGATTTTATGCTTTGTGTGAGAGGTGTTTGTGAAGGACTTAGAATAGTGCTGGTACATAAAAGACATGAAATGTGTACCTTCTTTTACAGTACCTCCTCTATCTTCTTCCTTGTTAATAGCTTTACTTATATTGATTTTAAAAAGATACTTTTTTTTTTACCATTAATTTATTTGTGGTTCTGAAAAAGCATATGAAGGTTACTTGTGATAAGAAAATACTAGTTATAGTTTTTTACGAATGGACTTAATTTCATGCATCCTTTTATTGACAACTTTGTTCTACCTATTTTTTTCTTTTGTACTTAGCACGTGTTCTGATACTTTGTAGAAATGAACATTTATTGACCAGTATTTATGGGTAGACACTGTATGTGCAATTTGAATTGTAAAAAAAATCTTGAAATTCCCCTCAATTGTTCTGTCAATTAAATTTTTGGATGAATTCAACATAGGAAGTCACCTCAGCTTATGAATGAACCCTATTGAAATATGAACTTTTTTCCTTTTTTAAATAAATGACTCACATTCTGTGGGAATAGCTGTTTGGATGTTTTTTATCCTATGTGATTCTTCAGAAAAATGAAAAATTCCTTTGCAAGTAATTCTGCTGACTACTTTGAAAATATCATGCTTAGTGTGAAAGGAAAAAATTAAGTTCTTGGTTAAAATATAAGTAGGCCGCTCAAACTTAATTGATATGCCTTGGGTAGGGGCTAATGAATACTCTATTTATGGTAAGTACTGTTTTAAAAGATACTGATACTCTTGAAAAAGAAGCAGAACAGTTTTTTAAAAGTCTAAAATTATCAGAGAGATAGAAAGAATTTTTTTCTTTTAAGAGCACATTGAGCAAAATAGATTTTTCTTTTCAATAATATTGATCATTTTCCCCTTGTCTATGAAGCTCTAACTACAAAGAACACATAAATGAACGTATTTTCTCAAGGTCACGGCACCAGCTTGCAAAAGTATGTAGGGACTCTATTTATCCACAGTGTAAGAGATGAGAAATTTTCCTGGAGTATGCATAAAACTACTTTAAATTATTAACTTAAAAATTTACCTTAAAACCTGATGAAGGTGATATTTGAAAAATTTACTGTGAACTCTAGGCTACTTAAAAAATTATGGTCAGTATTTACTTTCTTTCATTTCTTTTATTGTAAAATATAAAACAGTCAGACACAAATTATTAAGTCCTTTAGGAAGGTGAAAAAACTTAAAGGTGTAACTTTCTTTTTTTTTCTGAGACAGAGTCTCACTCTGTTGCCCAGACTAGAGTGCTGTGATGTCAGCATAGCCCACAGCAACCTCCAACTCCTGGGCTCAAGCAGTCCTCCTGGCTCAGCCACCCAAGTAGCTGGGACTACAGGTACTCGGCACAATGCCTGGCTAATTTTTTGTCCTATTTTTAGTTGCCTGGCTAATTTTTTCTATTTTTAGTAGAGTCCGATCTTGCTCTTGCTGAGGCTGGTCTTGAACTCCAGACCCCAAGGCGATCCTCTCATGTCAGCCTCCCAGAATGCTAGGATTACAGATGTGAGCCACCTCGCCTGGCCTGGTGTAACTGTTTCTTATTTGGAGAATCTTAATTTGAAGGATCTTCAAATGAACCTCCTGCCTCTATCCTCTGGCCTCCCAGAGTGCTAGGATTACAGGCGTGAGCCACCACGCCCGGCCAAGAGTTTTTATTTTTATTACTTATTTAATTTGTAAAAATATGGAAAGCTTTGCGAATTTGTGTGTCATTCCTGCACAGGGGCCATGCTAATCTTTGTATCATTCCAATTTTGGTATATGTGCTGCCAAAATGAACACTGTTCAGGAGTGTTCATAGAGCTCAATTTCCAATTCCTCCTATCCCCTCCCCGAGGTCAGTGGGTGGAGCTGAAAGTTCCAACCTTCTAATCTCTTGGTCTTTCTCTCATTAAAAAATTTAATGGCTACTGCTATGGTTTTAATGATGGTCTTTTCTAAAATCCATGTTGAAACTTAATCCCCACTGTGGCGTTATTAAAAGGTGGAACCTTTTGAGGAATTGATTAAGTCATGGGGCTCTGCCTCACATGTTCTTTCCTTTTCGTTGGAGGATTGGGGAGGGCAATGATGGGCTGATGTCTCTTTATCTTTTATAAGAGTAGTAGTCTCATCTGACTCTTTCTCTTTTATAGGGATACTAGTCCTTTCTGATTAGGGCCCTACCCTTATGACTTTCTTTAACCTTAGTTATCTCCCCAAAGGCCCTATGGTGAAGTAAACATTGGGAGTTAGTGTTTCAATACGTGAATTTTGAGGGGACTTGTTATTCAGTCCGTAACAAGTAGGTCTGGGATGGAGCCTGATATACTGCATTTTTACTAGGTGATACTGTTGCTGCTGATCTGAGGAACACACTGAGTAGTAAGAAGTAATCCTTTAATCAGCTGTACCTGGTTATCTACCTACAGCTGCTTAATGATGCATTTGTAAAGATGGGAATGAATCTGAGTACTTAATTCGTAGAGCTTGAAAAAGGTTGAGAACACAAACCTCGATGGTTATAAGTCACCGTTTTTGAGTAAATGAAACTTGTTTGAAAAACTAAAGTAAAATTATTTTTATGTTTACCCATGTGACCTTGATTTTTATCTGTCTGGAAATAAGAATTGTTAAAAAAGATAAAATACTTTACATTTAGATTTGTGCATTTTGCCTCTTTATGATAACCTTAAAAGGTAGTGCATTTTACGTAGTATTCCTAGACTTTGATTAGGAAGTAGTCTGAAAATCACTGACCTGGAGAACTTGTCTATGGTAAATTTTTTGTGCCAAAAGTGTCTTTTGTTGTTTGTTTTTTTAATCTCAAAATTAGCAGTGGATATTTTGCTTTTGTTTAATTAGTGGGATCAGATACATAAATATATTCCATTGCCTGAAACTTTGTATCTTATTTGTAGTTAAATTTGTTTGTGGATGAATACCTTATACTGTGAGGGGACGGTCAAAAATCAATCCGGACTGATTGTGGTTAGCTGTTTAGGCTGCCCGGCCGGTTCTCTTCTGTAGGGAGGGCCAGCTTCTACTCTGTGGAGTAGACTTTCTAGAGCTTCTGCAGGGGCCTGGTTCTCTTCTGCAGGGAGAACTTGCCTCTGCTCTGTCTGTGGCATAGGCTTTCTAACTTTCTACAGTTTCTGAATGAATCTCGCTTTCACTTAAAAAAAAAAATAGAATGCTCATATGTTCTGTTTTTATTTATTCACATAAGTTCTATAACTATAAACATGGTATGTAAATAAAGGTGCTTTTTAAAATGATCTTTCTTAACCTAATTTTTCGCTACTTCTTTTAGAGACCAAGAAGCGTCAGTGTAAAGTTCTTTTTGAATACATTCCACAAAATGAGGATGAACTGGAGCTGAAAGTGGGCGATATTATTGATATTAATGAAGAGGTAAGGAAAACATGTGTTAGAGATAAAGCAGAAATTGTAATTGATGCTCTGGATTTTAGAAAAATGCTTTGTAAGAATACTGAATTTTTTGTGAGAATTTTTGCCACTTTTTTTTTTTAATAAAATTTTAAGGTATAGATTTTCTTTAGTCATCTTTATATCAACCACAAATCATGAGATTCAGAAAATAGGCTTAAGTATAGAGTTTATTCAAGTGCAAAGCTTGAGAACAGTCACACAGATTCCAAAAGAGTGGATTAGCATTCCAAAGTGGGGAAGTTAGGGTTTCACTTACATAAGCAGAGAATAGCAAAGCTTAACAGGGTTGCAACATTTTTCATACAAGGTCAGTACATACATTATAGGTATTTGATTGGTTATAGCTTCCTGTATTCTAAGGAAGATTGCTTTAATATTCCATAAGGATAGGTAATGGTCTCTAGGGGTCTTCTTCTGGCTCTGTTTGGCCTTTCTTAACCATTTACAGGACAAGAATGAGGAAGAGATTTAATCTGTAATCAGAAAAGCAAAAGTCGAAGCTGTACACTATGTGACTCAGGCCATATAGCCACATTCGTCTCCTGGCTCAAAATGATTTAAAGTTCTAACAACTTTAAGTTTGAATTACTTAATTTCATACTTGCTATATACCTAATAGTGTGCTGCCTTTAGGGATAGAAGTACCTTTTTAAAGCTAAAAATTAATGTAATCTAAGTAGCTAAGAACATAAGTGAGCCTTTCTGAATTCACTGTAGGCACAAAGCATGAAATAGAAGTTTTACATTTTACATAGTAAAGGAATACAAAGCAGCATCTTTTTAATTAAAACCTTTCCTTGTTTAGATTAATCACATTTAAAATTAACCAAAAATACTTTTCTACATTTTATTATCTTAGAATGAGATTTTAAAATACTTTAAAAATAACTTTTCACATCTCTTCTTTTATCATTGACACAGCATTAAAGTTCTATTTGGCAGCTGAGGATCCCATTTTCAAAGTATATGTGTTGTTGTTGTATATTGTAGCAAGGATCGATTTTGTGTCGTTAACACCTTGTAATTTATCACTAATGTTTATGTTTATGTAAACTTCCAGTGCGTTTACACAAAAGGCAATTCTGTTTTATTTCTGCCTGGTGGCAATACAATAATAGCTAACATTTCTTGAACCTATATTATCTGAAGCACTGTGCTAAGTGGTTCACATTTATTTCCTTTAAAGTTGTAAAGAACCTAACAAGATAGAAATTTTTATCCTCATTTTACATATGAAGAGATTGAATCACAGAAAATAAGTGATTGGCTATCCTAGTTACTGTTGCTGCAAACCAAACCATTCTAAACTTAGTGGCAAAGAACAGCTATTTATTATACTTGGGGGTTGTGTGCATCAAGAATTCAGATAGGGCACAGCAGGGATGGCTTGTCTGTGTTCCATGATGGAAAGATGGAAAGCTGGGGGCTGATGGAATCATAGGAATTTTCTTTCACTCACATGCCTAGTGCTCAGAAGCCTTGAGGACTGTAACTGCCACTTGGAGAGCCAGTATGTAGCCTCAGGAAATTTCAGAGTAGTCATCTTTGTTACATGGCAGTTCACAGCTCTAAGTGTAAGCATTTCAGTGAATGTGGAGTTAGCTTCATTGCCTTTTACTGTCCAGCCTTGGGAATAATAGTGTCACTTTCACTACATTCCACTGGTTACAAGTGAGTCATAAGCCACCAAGATAAGAGGGGTAGGCCACAAAGACCACTATTTCTTGGTGGGAGGAATGTAAAGATCACAACTGTGGGATGAGAGATCCTGTTGCAGCCATTGTTGTCTAAGTTCATATGCCTGACACATGGGGGAGTGTGAATATGAATCCATGCAATCTGTTTTTGAGTCTTAACCACTGTACTTCTCTGCTTCCTAAGAATTCCTTAAATAACGTTAATTACCGAGTTGCTTCCAGTTGGGGTTCTAGGTATAGACTATAGTCTGCTGATGTTTATCTCCCTTTTACATGGGGGAGTGTGAATATGAATCCATGCAATCTGTTTTTGAGTCTTAACCACTGTACTTCTCTGCTTCCTAAGAATTCCTTAAATAACGTTAATTACCGAGTTGCTTCCAGTTGGGGTTCTAGGTATAGACTATAGTCTGCTGATGTTTATCTCCCTTTGTCGTATCTCTTGCAGTTTGGGCTACATATCCTCATCACACCTGATTTGAATCAATCCCAATCCTTTGGTGCCTCAAGTGTGCTAAAAATTGCAAACTCTTCATGCTTACTGCCTTCCCTTCCTTCCTCAAACAGCTTGTATTCTAGCCACTTTGTATGGGGTGGGGCCTTGGGGCCATATGTGGTCTTCTGGATTCTTGAGTGCAGCCTTTTGACTGAATCCAAATTTTACAGAACAAATCCTTTTAATAAAGAGATTTTATTTTTTGTAGAGATGGGATCTTACTATGTTGTGCAGGCTGATCTCAAGCTCCTGTTCTCAAGTGATCCTCTTGCCTTGGCTTCCAAAAGTGCTAGGATTATAGGCATGAGCCACTGCACTTGGCCTAAATCATTTATTTTTAAGTCATCATTTTTCACATACTTTTTATCTGGAAAACTCTTATTCAAGCCTTTAATATCAAGTGGCTTTTTTTTTTTTTTTGTCATTTCTTCTTAGGGGAGTCTTTTTTGATTCTTTCAAGCCCTTTGTGCTCCTACAGCATTTTGTTTATACTTTTGTTGGAGCACTTCTTATTAATATATTGTATCATAACTATCTGCTGTTTTTTTTCTTTAGATTGTTTCTTTAGATTGTTCAAGAACGTGGATTTCACATATGCAATTTTGAACCTTTCCCTAGTAGATGACACTATAGCTTATATATAGTGAGTTCCTGTTAGATGAATAACTTATTAAAAATTTGTTTTGCAATTCTGGTAAGATAGAATACATTTAAAAATATTTTAAATAGGAAAAAGATCTTTTTTCTAGCTGTGATATTGAATGTACTGCTAAGTAAATTTTGGTAGTGAATAGTTTACTCTTTAAAAAATTCTTTTTACCCATTAAAATCCCTTAGCATCTTTGGTAGAAGCTATACATTTTCAAACAATTTATTGAATATTTTGTTAAGTAACTTCATGGAAATTGAGTAACCTTGTTATTAGTATAAATATTTCTCTGAAGAGTTTGATATATGCGGATATTTCTGTTTGGAGGGTGGTGTTTAGTAGAGTTCGATATCTAGATTTTTAAAAGTAAGAAATTCTTTTTCATATTTTGGTTAAGAATCTCTGTTCAAGTAAAAGGTTTAGTGATTTTCTGTTCCATTTAGGAGTTGTATTCTTATAGTCCTCAAACTTTTTCCAAATCAAAAATTTCCAAATAATTTGTTAATATATGTTATATTTACAAACCAAGGCTCATAGTGACATTCCAGAAGAGACCTATGTATTCTCTGATATTTTCAAGAAAAATATTTATTTCATAGATTGTGATTGATTACAAATTCTCATTGTAAATGTTGCAAAGTGCTCTTGATACATGGTTAATCCCATATATGATTAATCTACTTAGATTTAATGCACTTAAAATATTTTTCCTTATCTTGTTTTCTTAAGTTTTAAAGGGATTGTTTTGCATTGCTGACTTTGTGCTCATTCCATACTGTAGCTTAATTTTCCCATAGGGTGAAGATTTTCCCTTAAAAAAAATTTTTATTATTTTTGAGTTGTGAACTCTTTCAGGTAGAAGAAGGTTGGTGGAGTGGAACCCTGAACAACAAGTCGGGATTGTTTCCTTCAAATTTTGTGAAAGAATTAGAGGTAACAGATGATGGTGAAACTCATGAAGCCCAGGAGGATTCAGGTAGATTATTTTAGAAAATTTGAATAGATTTAAATAAATTTTGTCTATGATCTATTGTTTATTTTATGTTTTTAAAAACTTTGTTCTTATTTTTGAACTTTCAATCAGCTTCAGTTGATCTTCTTTACAAAAGCAAATTATCATGGGGGTCATAGTTCCTTTTTGTATACTTGAGTTTCTTTTGAATAAATTATACATTCTCATGGTTCAGAAATCAAAGTATATGAAAAAATGTGCATCACAATACTTGTCTCCCTCCAGCTGGTTGTCTCCTCTGCCTCTGTAAGAAAGCATTTGTACTTTCTTGCTATCCTTCCAGTGATCTTTATGCAGGCACACACAAAAACATATATAGTCATCCTTTGGTATCCGTGGGGGATTGGTTCCAGGACCTGCTATGGATATAAAAATCCATAATTGCTCAAGTCCCTCATATAAAATGGTAGTATTTGAATATGACTTGTGCATATGCTCCTGTACATGTGAAATCATCTCTACATTACTTGTAATACTTAATACAATGTAAATGCTGTGCAAATAGTTGTTACACTGTATTGTTTAGGGAATACAAGAGAAAAAGTCAATACATATTCAGTATAGACACAATTCTTTTTCTTGAGTATTTCCATTCCTTGGTTGAATCCTCCATAGATGCTGAACCCATGGATACCGAGGGACAACTGTATTTGTATTTTCCCTCTTTTCTTAAACAAAATGTAGCATACTATGTTGGATAGAATATGTGCCAGTTAAAACAACCTGACATAGTGACTTACAACAGAATGTCGTAGTCGCTTAGGAACTAAGGCTGATAGGGGCCCCTTTTTGACATGTACTTTAATCCTTTAACAGGTAGGGAAAAAGGAGCATGGTTTTTCAAGCTTCTGTGTAAAATTGACACATATCATTTCCACTAATGTTGTATTGGTAGTCATTATTACTGTGTTTTGCCAAAATTACTGGCAAATTTTGAAGGATAGTAGATAGTATTCTTCTATTATATTACTTCATTCTTATTGCTTCACTCCTTTCTTTCTTTCAATTCCCACGCTTTTTATGTAGGGTTAACCGTATTGAGTAGTGATATGGTAAAATTACGTTAAGCAGAGTAATTTTCATTACTGGAAGTTGAAATGAGGTGGGGTTGGGGGATGTTGAATTCAATTCTTTTTAATGCTGATTCCATTGAAAGACAGAAAAATCACTGAGATAGGAATAAATGCAGAAGAAATCATATCAAATAGGTATACTTCTATTTTATGTTACATTTATTTGAAAATACGTGTTATCAATTTTGAAGTCAGAACTTACAGCCAAGGATATATGGAAACCATTGGAGAACAAACATTAAGTACCAAAAACATCTGGCTTAAATTTAGTGATACATTTATTACTTAGCAGACTGTCTCCTGAGTTACTTCTGATGCATGTTGGTGTTTCTTATGGTTCACAGGTATTGGATCTTCTGATACTTATTTTTAACATCAAAATTTGGTATATTAATAAATTAAAGCTTATAGTCAATTGGTCTTTATGATGCCATGTAAAATTAAGCCCTTAAAATGCCTACAAAATTTTAAGTCCATATGGGACTACCAGCACAAGAGATCTAATTTAAAATTTTGATTTAGTTCATTATTTTATGATTATAAATATTTGAAGCATTTTCTTTTGCTGTTCAGCCCTATTTGAATTTTAGTAATTGTGCAGAATTATATCCGTTAGAAAAGTACTTCCTTCTTTGCTTAACCCTTTTATAATAACAGTGCATTCTAAATGTGGAGCTTTGTGATTATGGGGTGGAAAGTCAGTGGTTGAAGTACACTATAATTCCTTTTTTTCCTTCTGTAACTCTAATTTTTAGGCAGAAAGTTTCTGCATATTGATGTGAGTGCCAGGAAGTGAGTGTTTTATAAGAAGCGACTACTTAAATTTTTAGTGATAAAAGTACGTAGTTCTTTTAAGTTTTAACTTGTGTTTGATCTTGTGATTAAAGAGTTGATGTCTACTATTCCTGTGTCCTAATGAAGTACAGCGGTCTCTGTCTATAATTGGTGTTTTGATGTCTTTTCAGTCAGTAAAATAATGTTTTTAGTAGCCGTTAAAAAATTATAGTAGACTTCCCATTATAAAATGTTACTTTTTGCTTACAGTATTGGAATGTCATGTCTATCATATTTAAATATTTTACATAGTTTCTCCTCAACACTTTTTAAGTATAATAGAGTTCTTTTCCTTCTCTTACTCCCCACTCCCTTCCCTCCTTCCTCCTTCCTCTCCTGAAATAAATGGGATGATGTTCTTGATTTGACCAGTTAAACTCTAGCTATTATGCTAAGAAGATAATTCTGACTCTAAATAATAAACAGACAGTATTACCTGACCCTTCATGGGTAATTTGTTTTTATGTCCTCAGTTTTCTTTGAAGAACTGTAGAATAAAAGTTTTAAGAAAGCCACTGTTATGATTTTTTTTTTTTTTTTTTGAGACAGAGTCTCACTGTGTTGCCTGGGCTAGAGTGCCGTGGCATCAGCCTAGCTCACAGCAACCTCAAACTCCTGGGCTCAAGCAATCCTTCTGCCTCAGCCTCCCGGGTAGCTGGGACTACAGGCATGCGTCACCATGCCTTGTCCAGATAATTTCTTTGTATTTTTAGTAGAGACGGGGTCTCGCTCTTGCTCAGGCTGGTTTCGAACTCCAGAGCTCAAACAATCCGCCCGCCTCGGCCTCCCAGAGTGCTAGAATTACAGGCGTGAGTCACCACACCCGGCCTCCACTGTTATGTTTTCTATAGGAATGTGGTGAATTCATAATCTATTCTGTTATTCACTGGATTCTATATAAAACTCTAAGATAAATTTCTTTCTTTCTTTCTTCCTTTTTTTTTTTGAGGCAGAGTCTTGCTCTATTGCCTGGGCTAGAGTGCCATGGCATCAGCCTTGCTCACAGCAACCTCAAACTCCTGGGCTCAAGCGATCCTTCTGCCTCAGCCTCCCGAGTAGCTGGGACTAGAGGCATGCACCACCATGCCCTGCTAATTTTTTCTATATATTTTTAGTTGTACAGCTAATTTCTTTCTGTTTTTAGTAGCAACGGGATCTCACTCTTGCTCAGACTGGTCTTGAACTCCTGACCTTGAACGATCCTCCCGCCTCAGCCTCCCAGAGTGCTAGGATTACAGGCATCAGCCACCATGCCCAGCTAAGATAAATTTCTTCTAATATGAATCTCAGGAAAAGCACTGCCTATGTAGGAAAGTGTTATGTTTTAGTTTTTGTAATGAAATGTCTCCTTTTTCATTTTGTCAAATATAATTAACCCTTCTTATTTAGAGTGTCTTTTTGTCAGTGTTCAGATTCCACTTATTTTCTAAATAGGAACTTACTTTTAATGTTTCTTCTGATTCTATAAAGCCAGTGACTGTATATACTGGTATTTTTCACCCTTTTATAAATCTTTTCTCCACATTAAGCCTATTTCACAATCTTCATTTAGATATCTAATAGGCATCTTAAAAGTAAGATGGACAAAATTGATCTTCCTTTTTTCCTGCTCTCAAATCTGTTCTACATAATCTTCCCCATCTGAGTTAAGGGCACCTCCATCCTTCTTTTACTTAGGCCAAAATTCTTGGATTCATCTTTTATTCTTTTTAATCTCACATCCTACACTTGATTCATTAACTGATTTTGTTACCTACTAAAAAAATATATAGAATCGATTTATACCACCATCGTTGTTTGTTCCTAGTATAAGTTATCATTATCTTTTACTGTATAGTTACTATAGCCTCTACCTGTCTTAACCTCATCTCCTATTTAACTCTCCCCTTTGTTTACATTGATCTCCCTACTGTTTCTTGAAGATACCAGAAAGGTTCCTATTTCACAGCCTTTGTACTTGCTGTAAACATTTGTCTGGGATGTTCTTCTTTGAGCAATCCTGATGGCTTCCAGTCTGATTCAGGATTCTCTCAGAAATCACCTTATTAGTGAGGCTTTTCCTGACAAGCTGTGTATAAAACAGCAGAAAGTCCCCATCTCCCACTTAATTCCTTTATCTTCTTTGATCTTTCTTTGAAGCATTCAAATGGGCAATTCAATAGAAAGGTGAAGTGGGGCTAAATTAGCCTTAGAATGGAGGCTTCTCTAATCCTACCCTAAAAGAGCTTCACACTAAAATGCAAGTAACTTATCTGTTTGCCAGAAAAAAATGCAGCACTCTTTAAAGCAGGTTTTTCAACCTTGTCACTGATGACGTTTTGGGCAGGATAATTCTTTGTTTTAGGGGGCTGTCAGGTACACAGAAGATGTTAAGAAGCCTTCCTGATCTCTACTCAGTAAAAGTCGGTAGCATTCCCCAGTTGTGATAACCAAAAATGTCTCATGTCCTTTGGAAGGCAAAAATCACCCCTGGTGATTCACTGCTTTAAAGGATTACAAGAAAATTTAGCACTCTACAGCATCAGATAAAAATAGTTACTAGGTATATCAAGAATCAGAAACATGTGACCCATAATCTGGAGGAAAAATTTATTGATACACAGAGATAAAGTAATGATGGAATTAGCAGACAAGGATATTAAAATAGCTATAATAAAAATGCTCAAGGTTGTAATGGAAAATATGAACATAATGAGGTAAAAAAAAACCTATATATGTTTACCAGAGAAGGGGTAAAAAAAAAAAAGGGCAAAATAGAACTACTAGAGATGTAAAACACAATATCTGAAATGAATTTCTTCCTGTGAAATCTTAATAGTACACTAGACAATGTAGAAGTAAAGGTTGTTGAACTTGAAAATGTGACAGTAGAATATGTCCAAAATGAAGTACAAAGACCAAAAAGACTGCAAAAACTTCAAAAACTCCAGCAACTTGGGATAATTTTAAATGGCCTGGCATGTGTAGCTTAAGTCTCAGGAGGAGAGGGGAGAGAGGATGGGCAAAAGAAATATTTGAAGAAATAATGCTAAAAAATTTCCACATTTGAAGCAAGCTATAAATCCATAAATGCAAAAAGTATAAACATACACACAAAGCTTGGCACATCATAACTATGTGCTGAACACAGGGAATAAAGCAAAAATCCGAGAAGGAGCTAGGGGAGAAAAGGCACATCATGTAAAGAAGAATGAAGATAAGAATTCCACAGATTATCTTCAGAAACTGTGAATTACAAGACAGTGTCCTCAGAACCTATGTAAGGAAGAAGACAATGGAATGCTATGTTTAAAGTGTTGAAAGAAGAAAACCAGACAACCTAGAAGTCTATTTTCTGTGATAATAGCCTTCAGAGTAAAGTTAAGATTTTAAAAGTTTTTAGACAATAATAGCTGAGAGACTTCATTGCCTGCAAACAATACACTACAAAGAGGTATTAAAGGAAGTTCTTTGTGTAAAAGAAAAATCATACCACATGGAAACTTGAATCTACACAATGGAGAAAAGACTAGCAGAAATGTGGGTAGGTTAAAAAACCATTTTTTGTTTTAAAATTTCTTTAAGGATAATTGACCATTTAAGGCAAAAATAATAACATATTATGGGACTTATAAAGGTAAAGGTAAAATATGATAACAGTAACTCCAAACACAGACGAGGTGAAATGAAAGTGTACCCTTGTAGGGCTCTTACATTATATGCAAAATGGTATAATCTTATTTCAGTGTATATTTTGGTGAGTTAAAGATGCATACAGTCAGTCTTCTGTATCTGTGAATTCCACATTCATGGATTCAGCCTACTGTGGATTGAAAATATCAGGAAAAAAATTATACTGAACATGCATGGGCTTTTTTTCTTGTCATTCACTAAACAATACAGTATAACAACTATTTACATAGCACTTATATTCTATTAGGTATTAGAAGTAATCTAGAGATGATTTAAAGTATATAGGAGGATGTGTGTAGATTATATGCAAATACTAAGCCATTTTATATCAGGGACTTAAGCATTCAGAGATTTTGATATCCACAGGGGTCCTAGAACCCAATCCCCCATGGTCACAGAGGGATGATTGGATTGTAAAGCCTGGAGCAACTCCTCTAAGAAAATAAAACATTGAGGTTGTCTTGGTTGGTGCTGCTTTAACAGAATAGCTGAATTTGTTAATTTATGAACAACAGAAATTTATTTCTCATGATTTCGGAGGCTGAAAAGTCCTATCATCAAGGTGCCAGCAGGTTCGGTGTCTGGTGATGGCCTGGTTTTTGCTTTCAAGATGGCACCTTCTTTCTGTGTCTTTCAGAGGGGATAAATACCCTGTCCTCACATGGAAGAAGGGATAGAAGTGCAAAAGAAGTGATCTCACTCCCTCCAGACCTCTTATTAGGGCATAATCCATCCATGAGTTCAGAGCCCTTATGACCTCATCACCTCCTGAAGTCCCCACTTCTTAATACTATCACATTGGGTCTTAGGTTCTAGTATAGTGAATTTTTGGAGGGACACATGCATTCAAACTGTAGCAGAGGTATAGCTAATAAGTTGCTAATAAAATAGAATGCTAAGAAATACTTATGAAAAGACAAGAAAATAGAAAAAAGTAACAAAGGTCAGGCGGGGAAAATAGAAAACGAATAGCAAGATAATGGATTTAAATATCTGCATCACTAATTACATTAAATGTAAATGGTCTAAAAACTCCAACTGAAAGATCAAGATTGACAGATTGGATAATATGCTCTTTTTCAGAAACTCAGGTTAAAAGAAGGGTAGACAAAGACACTTTGTGCAATGTATAATAAATCTAGAATTGTTATATTAATATCAAAGCATATTGCAGGAAAAGAAATATTACCAGAGAATTAAAAAGGGGCATTTTATAATGATGTCAATTCATAAAAATTCTTTAGCAATTCTAAATATGTATAAGTGAGTAAGAACTTTAAAATGCATGAGACAGTAACAACTGAAAGAAATAGGTAAATCCACAAATAGACATAAATATGCATTTCTCAATAATTGATAGAACTAGTGGACAAAATAATTAGTATTTAATACACTTGGAAAACATTATTAACTAAGGGGACCTAATTGACATTTTCGTTGGACAGCAGTGGAATATACCTTCTTTCAAAGTGTGCATGCAATATTCACCAGATAAACCTTATGGTGGGGCATCAGATAAATCTCATCAGATTTAAAGGATTGAAATCAAACAGTATAGGTTTTGTGACCACACTGGACTTATTTTAGAAACAGATATTTGGGAAAACTTTATGTATTTGGAAATTAAGCAACACTTGTAAATAACCTATGGATTAAAGAAGAAATTGTAAGGGAAATTCGAACAGTTTTTGATATAAATAACATGTAAATGCAACATATCAAAATTTGGAATACAGGTAGAGCAGCATATACAGGGAAATTTATAGGTTTAAATGCTGATATTAGGAAAGCAGGAAAGATGAAAATCAGTCTAAGCTTTTATCTTAAACTAGAAAAAGATGAGCAAAGTAAACCTGAAATAATTAGAAGGAAGAAATAATAGGAGCAGAAAAGTGGGCTCTTATTATTTGATCTCAGCAAGTTCAAAAGTTGAGTTTTTTCAAATGATAAAAAAATTGATAAAGTCCTAACAAGACAGATCAAAGCAAAAGGAGAAAAAATGCAAATTACTAGTATCAGACATGAATGAAGAGATATCACAGATCAGACATTAGAAGAGTAATAAGGAAATATGCTCATAAAGTTGACAGTTGAGATGCACAAATTCCTTGAAAAGTACTGTTTACCAAAGCAGGCATAGAAAAAATATATGTTCTAAATAGTCTCTATAAAAGAAATTGAATTCATTATCAAAAATTTTCACATAAGGAAAATTCCCTACTTAGGTCGTTTCGAACTGGTGAATTTTATGAAGCATTTAATCTTCTACAGATTCTTTCAAATTTCTATATAACCTTGATATCAAAACTTCATGAAGCCATTGTAAAAGAAGGAATTATAGGCCACTATCTCTCATGAACATAAACACAGATATCCTTAAAGTATTAGTATGCCAAATTCAGCAAAATATGTAAAGGTTAATAAAGTCATGACTAGTGGAGTCTATCCTACACATGCAGTATTGGTTTAAAAAGTCTGTGTGATCCACCATATTAACAGTTTACCAGTGGAAAACCAATAGATGCAGAAAGAGAATTTACATATTCAATACTTATGATGAAAATGCTCCATAATAGTAACAGAAGGGAACTTTCAAAATTGATAAAGTTCATCTATGAAAAACCTGGAGCTAACTAACATTTTTAATGGTGTATACATAGTAGTATATCTGTACAGTGGAATACTAATCAGTAAGAAGGAATGAAGTATGTATACATGCAATAGCATGGATGAATCTTATGTATTCTGTGTAGCAAAAGAAGTAGACATAAAAGACTCATGTACTATATGATTGAATTTATTTGACAAAGGGCACATTTATAGTGACAGAATGAAGATCAGAAATCTCTGGAAGCTTGGGATAGAAAGGACTGACTGGGATGGTGTACAAGTATTGTTTTGGGGGTGGCAGAATTATTCTGTATTTGATTGTTATGGTTCCATTTGTCAAAAATTATTGAAGTGTCCATTTAAAATGGGTTCACTTAATTGTATGTAAACATTCTCTCAATAAAATTAAATTAGAAATATGTTACAAAACTATGTATCTTCTCCCTTTCTCTTCTGGGTGGCTTAGGTTAATATTGAAAGTGGTTAGAGTAGATCACTACATATTTCTTAAGTTAATAAAACTTGTTTCTGTAAACCACCTCTAAAATTCTCACGTTTGAAGGCTTTTGTGGGTTGAGGCATTATATTGAAAGTGTTTAAGAACTTCAATTTAGTGGAGTCATTTAGAATTCAGTTCAAATGTTAGCTTTGTTACTTACTGCTTATAGGTACTTGGGAAAATTCTTACCGTATCTTTATTCCAGTTTACTTATTTGTAAAATGAGGAGTAATACTGCTTAATGTTAAGAAGCCCGTGGATGGCTATGAAAATTAGATAATTCAAGTACAGTGCTTAGCAAAGTGCCTGGCACCAAATTATCCCCATATAATGGTAACTCCTATTTTTATTACCCTTGTTAACGTTCTTACTGTTATACTTCAACAGATTGCCTTTGTTTGATGAACAGATACCATGTTTTTCTTCACCCCTTACCCCAATCTGAAATGTTTCTGAAATTTTCTTGGATGATTTACTCCAGAACTTTCTTTCTTAGATTATAAGGCTCTTTGAGAATCTGATAAAAGCTGTACCTCTTTTACCCAGAAAAATGTACTGAAAACAATATTCCCAGTTTTTATATTCAGATATACACCATAATTTTGATCAGATTGAATCACATCTTTTAAAAATGGTTGTACTTTGACTCTTTAATGTTTCAGTCTTACATTATATCATCTGGCTAAAAGCTGTACATTTGATATGCTCTTGTTAAGGACTTTGTAAAATGATATGATTTCCTGGATTCCTTAATTAGTGTTTTACTAATTAAATATACCTAAAATTGTTATTGTTTTGAACAAAAAAGGTGCATCTTACTCTTTTGGATATTTCAGTACTCAGTCATTTATTATTTTTATTCTACCATTTTTTGTTAGGTATATAAAATATAGATATTACGGAAGGTAATGTCAAGATTTTTGTAATTCTAGGTGTCATTCTTCAAAAACAAATTATTCTTTCAGAAACTATTTTGACTGGGCCTACTTCACCTTTACCCTCTCCCGGGAATGGGAGTGAAACTGCACCTGGATCAATTACACAACCAAAGAAAATTCGAGGAATTGGATTTGGAGATATTTTTAAAGAAGGCTCTGTGAAACTTAGGACAAGAACATCCAGTAGTGAAACAGAAGAGAAGAAAACAGATAAGGTGGTAATGATGAATTTAACTTAGAATAACTCCACTTGTTTTCTCATTAAACATTTTTGAAAATGTAAAAGTCAGTTTGCAACTCTGGTACATTTCCTTTTTTGAGATCGATAGTAATTTGTTATGAATGAGAAGGCTGTGAGAAATTGTTTTCTGTCCACATTTGCAGTGATTAATGTTCATGTCTGAATCATGTAAAATTAGAATGCTTGTTTCTTGCTAAATTTAACACAAACTTTTCTTAGTAGAAGGTTTAGGTTTTTTTAGTTATCACAGTGTAAATAAAAATAAAGGGAAGTTTTTTTTCCTTTTTTAAGCTAAGATTTTACATTTTTTCCTTTAATTTGAAGTAGACCTAAAATGGTCTGCTTTAAAGTAAATTAACGAGGTATTAAGTTACTTAGACACTATTTAACTTTCCTCTGGATTGTCAATACTGGTTAAATTTACTAATCTCCCTCTTTGAATGTGTGGATAATTTTATTTTCTATTAGTATTTTACTGATGATACGAAATGAAACAAAGTGAATCATAAATTATAAGATCTAATAAGAGGCTTTAATGTAAAACCTTAAGCTTTTGTTGGTAAAATAGCTGTAATTTCTTTAGAACATTTTTTCATAATTGTTCCTGGTATCATTCCCTTGGAGATCCAGACTTAATATTTACTTCAGATAGGAGGCTTTTCCCTTGACATTCAGGGGAAAACACTATAGTTCTCATTGGTCTCTCTTTAACTCTTAAGAACTTAAAATATTTCAGTATTTATTTGCTTAGTTTAGTTACATTTCATTTATAAGGCAGTGTTTTGGTTAGTGAAATCATATTCTGGTTTCCTCCTGAGGTGAGTGGTTTCAACATCCCCACCCCGCCACCCCCAGCTTGCTGCATATTTTCCCATGTAATAGTGAGAAGTTGGGTTCAGGGAAGAGAACTTTCATTTTCTACCCTACACATTTCTGGCTCTGAGACTGTCTGGCATTAAGATTATGGGGTCTGATTGATTCTTGGTTTTTAAAGGTAAAGATTGGAATTTTTGTGGTGTTTGGAATGGTGCTCTACAGCCATATAGCAGGACCACTGGAGAAGCAATTCTCTTGCATTATGGACATTAGACTAGATGATCTTGTGCCCATTCCAACTCTAAAGCTTATGATTGTATTAAATAACTTTATTTCATTAATGATTCTATTAGTAATTTTTCAATCATCATTGATAATGTCCACCACTCAGAGTTATTATTAGTGAGGGTAGTCTCAGGGTTACCCTATATGATGGCCTTGTGAGGCTTGCTTTGATTACTGAATAAAGTAGGGGGCACATTTGCTATGTCCGTCGGTGACACCAGATTAGAAGATATAGTGGTTAGAATTGGGAGGAATTAAAGTGAGTATATTAGAAGATAAAAACAGAAAACACAATGGTAGGTAAATTAGCAATGTGTTCAGATTTTTAACTAATAAAATCTAAGGTCAAATGAACTGTTGTTTCTGGGAACAGAACTCAAGGAAACAATAGTGTAAGTTAGATAGTAGGACTTTGTTTAGTCAATAAACATAGAAAAATGTCTAGTAGATTAGTTAAAATGGTTGTAACATTACATAAATGTTTTCATTCAGATAACAATGACGTGTAAAGAGTACTTTTTTCTCCTCTATCTCATTTTAAGGTTAAATTTGGTGCTATTAAGAGCTCACTTTCTGGAATCAGACTTTCTGGGTTCAAATGTAGGCTCTACTACTAAGTTCCTGTTATTGTGGGCATATTACTTAACTGCTTTCTAATCTATAAAGGGGGTGAATAATAGTGCCTACTTAGTGCAGATAGTTAAGAGGATTACATTATAATGTATATAAAGTGTTTAGCTCAGAGATTGGTACATAGTAAATTCTCAAATGCTATCATTCTTATTTATTTTAGAGATTCTAAAATTAAATCACAATAATGTATTAGGGCATCTGAGTATGTTTATTATCTTTAAGATAAGGGGTTTTAAAAATTAGTAGTTCTGAGCTATCATTTAAAGAATTTAAAGAATTTCTGAGATCTTTATCTTTTTCATTGCTGAGTTTTTATTTACATTATTATCCTAGCTTTAAATATCATTAGGAAAAGCTGGAAAACTAAATGGAAACTTTAAAATATTATCTTTATTCTAACTTAAAATAGTTGATGCCATCCTTTTCTATTACAGCCTTTAATCATGCAGTCAGGATCCAAAACTCAGAATGTGGACATAACAAAAATAGACACCGAAGGTAAAATTAAGGGTAAGTTTTTGAATAAAAATTTCATGTTGAGAATAGTAGAAACATACACTAGACTTGTTGAAGGCATTTGTTACACTGTATTACTTGATCAGAATATTAAATACTAGTAGATGTAAGTATCATGAGGTCAAGGGTTTTGGTATACTTCATTCACTGACGTATCCCCTTGCAGTTAGAACTGCTCCAAGAACATAGAAGGCACTTAATAAATATTTGAATGACTGATTAATGACATTGTTACTTAACATACAGTATTGACTATAATTTTTTTTTTTTTTTTGAGACAGAGTCTGGCTCTGTTGCCTGGGCTAGAGTGCTGTGGCATCAGCCTAGCTCACAGCAACCTCAAACTCCTGGGCTGGAGCGATCCTACTGCCTCAGCCTCCCCAGTAGCTGGGACTACAGGCATGCGCCACCATGCCCAGCTAATTTTTTCTATACATATTTTTAGTCGTCCAGATAATTTCTTTCTATTTTCAGTAGAGACGGGGTCTTGCTCTTGCTCAGGCTGGTCTCGATCTCCTGAGCTCAAACGATCTGCCCGCCTCGGCCTCCCAGAGTGCTAGGATTACAGGCGTGAGCCACTGTGCCCGGCCTGACTATAAGTTTTAAATTTTAAAATTTAAAGATGAATTATCACACAAATGATTAAGTTTAATAACTTGTAGTATACATGGCACAAAAGAGAGGCTTAAGACGTATTTATTGAATGAATCAATTTGTGTAAGCCACATTATTTATATTCTTTATTTCAGCTAAGGAATATTGTAGGACATTATTTGCCTATGAAGGTACTAATGAAGATGAACTTACTTTTAAAGAGGGGGATATAATTCATTTGATAAGTAAGGTAAGTTATTTCTTAATTTCTCAGTGAATTGTTTCTTTATAGAAATATTTTTCAAAAGTCTTGTATTTCCCCCTAGAATGTAAGCTGTAGAAGACCTGAGACTTTAACTTGTTGTTTCTGGGTCCTGAGAACCTGGCACATAATAAGTGCTCAGAAACTTTTTTTTTTTTTTTTTTTTTTTTTTAAGCGAGCTTTTATTGTTTGTGTTTGTTATAATAGATGAATTGGGAATTATTTGTAACCGTTAATCAGACTGTTTTTTTTCTATATTAACCCCATCTTCCCAGGTTTTTATCTTCACTTATGTTCCCCCTCATTCAATTTTTTCCCTCATCTATTGTTTGGAGCCTTGTTTTGTAATATAAAAATAAAAAGAGGAAAAATAGGGAAACAACCTAAATGTTCATCAATATGTAAATGATTATGAAACTCTTGATACTGTGGGAAATGATGTAGCTATTTCAAAGAATGAACTGAATATAACTTGAAATGAATTCTAAGGCAAAATAAAGAAACCCAGCAGCATTTGAGTGTGGGCACAATTCCATAGTAACTATGTATAATATAGGAAAATTATAAACATTTTGTTTTTGCTATAACCCTATAGAATAATTTTTGAAAATTTTTCCTTTGTTTCAGATTGACTTTGTTCTCAGATGGCTTAGTGCAGATAACTTTTTAAAAATAATTTTTATTGTGTATACTTAAAATATATAGCATGATATGGGATACATAGAGGTAGTAAAAAGGTTACTATAATAGTGAAACAAATTAACATATCTATCATTTCACATGATTAGCAATACTTTTGTTTTTATGGCAAGAGCAGCTAAAATCTGGTCATTTAGAAGGAATCTCATAAATGTATGCAATTTTTAATATTCATATAGTTTGAACGGATAACATCTAATTTTTCATGCAAGAATGAGTATTTGAAAGAAACTTAGAAGATATTGTTAATTTTTAAAGCAACTGAATAATGTGATTAATTTTTACTATATAAAGTGTCAAGGATGTTAAGAAAGATACAGTTTGGAAATTCATATTCTCTTTCTCCACCTTTTCTCTCCCACTTCTTTTCCTTTTATCTTTCTCCTCTTCCTTTGTGAACTTTTAATATTGTAAGTAGAACTTTAAAATTGACTTATTTTAAAAAATTAAACCTAATTTTGTAACTACTGCTCAAAGTAATATGTGGGGAATATATTCTTTTAGGAGGACATTATGATCTGTTTAGGTTGGTTTTTTTCTTGTAAAAATAATGGAATTTAGTATTATCCTGTTTTGTTGTAAACTCTGTCCTCATATCTTAATTATTTTGTTTTGCTTTTTAGGATACTGGAGAAGCTGGCTGGTGGAAAGGTGAACTTAATGGTAAAGAAGGAGTATTTCCAGACAATTTTGCTGTTCAGATAAATGAACTGGATAAAGATTTTCCAGTAAGCTTTTCTTTTTCATTGATGATAATACTTGAAAAAACATTCTGCCAATATTATTTGGAAAACAAGTTTTTTGCATTATTAGTGAATCATTTTTATGAAGGAGTTTCAGATTTATGTATCCAGGTAAAAGTTATTTGAATTATAATAAAACAAAATGTTTCAGTTCTGTGCCTTTATTCCTGCTCTCCTGAGTATACTGAAAAATAGCCATAGCCTTCTTTATTTTATAATTTTTTTTTTTTTTAAAAAAGGTTGGCCATACTAGTTGGATTAATTAGTACTTTCCTGGGAGAAATTGTATTATTTAATATTGTTCAAAGCTTTAGTTTATTTTAAGGTATTGATAATATTATTACTCTGTTAGTGTGCTTTTGGAAGGGCAAGAAGCAGAGTCTTTGCTGCCTTACAGGATTTAATATTTCTATGTCACTTCTCAGAATAAAGTGAGGCTGAGTCATTCATCAGTGGTCTTTTGGCTTTCTACAACTTGATCCTCTTTTTCCCCATGGATTGGGGTCTAATTGAGGTTTTAAAATAAAGGGATAGAGAGTTAGTAGAAGCACACAACAGGACAGACTACCATATTTGATTTAAGCCACTGCAGAACTCTCTAACTTTTGCAATCTTTCGTTTAAGTAAATTATTGGATATTTATTCTATGGAAGCTTAGGCTCTCCAAGGCCTTTCTTCTACTAGATTGCATTTAGCATTGACTTAGCTTTTATATGCTTTATATTTATACCTTTCTTAAGGAATACTTTTTTTCCTGCTTTTATTATGTATTTATACATTATTGCTTATCAGTTATTCTTGATTTGGAAAAAACCAAATTCATATACTTGGAGTGTCTCAGTTTTTTTTAAGTATTAAAGTAAGTCTTAAAAATGAGTGAATGCATATAAATTGACGAAGAACAGGCCTTTGTCTTTAACCTTCCCTTTGAGAGTTCTGAAGAATTAAGAGTGAAAGCTGAGTCTGTTTATTGCTACTCTTTTTTTTTTTTTTTTAAAAAAAAAAACAAGATCTCTGTCTTCCTTGTCCTGCCAGACCCTCCTCCTCCCTCCCTGTCCTCCACCCTCAGCTTTGAAAGAGGAGTAAAATGGTGCTTAGGAATCTTAAACGAGGGGAGGCAGGGGAGAACATTTTTGCTCATTAATATTTTTTAGGTTTATCCAATCCAGTGATATTTTTTGGAATATTTGACTGAATTTTGATCAGGGAGGATATTTGTTCTAGTGAAATAAGTTTTTTGTCAGTGACCTCTTGTGGAGTTTGAGGATAGTAGCATTTTATAATTTTTGGCAAGAATGGAATGAGGAGAAACATTCACATAATTTCGATTATTAATAATCAGAATTTATTTTAGTCATAAGTATTTATATGTAACCAGTCAGTCATTTGTTGCTGTTGTTATTTTAACAGAAACCAAAGAAACCACCACCTCCTGCTAAGGGTCCAGGTATGTAAGAGACACATTATTCAGTTAGCTATTTTTAATATTTTAAAATCTAAAATGATATAATGTGCTCAGAAACTTGTTCTTTTTTTTTTTTTTTTTTTTTTTTTAAGCGAGCTTTTATTGTTTGTGTTTGTTATAATAGATGAATTGGGAATTATTTGTAACCGTTAATCAGACTGTTTTTTTTCTATATTAACCCCATCTTCCCAGGTTTTTATCTTCACTTATGTTCCCCCTCATTCAATTTTTTCCCTCATCTATTGTTTGGAGCCTTGTTTTGTAATATAAAAATAAAAAGAGGAAAAATAGGGAAACAACCTAAATGTTCATCAATATGTAAATGATTATGAAACTCTTGATACTGTGGGAAATGATGTAGCTATTTCAAAGAATGAACTGAATATAACTTGAAATGAATTCTAAGGCAAAATAAAGAAACCCAGCAGCATTTGAGTGTGGGCACAATTCCATAGTAACTATGTATAATATAGGAAAATTATAAACATTTTGTTTTTGCTATAACCCTATAGAATAATTTTTGAAAATTTTTCCTTTGTTTCAGATTGACTTTGTTCTCAGATGGCTTAGTGCAGATAACTTTTTAAAAATAATTTTTATTGTGTATACTTAAAATATATAGCATGATATGGGATACATAGAGGTAGTAAAAAGGTTACTATAATAGTGAAACAAATTAACATATCTATCATTTCACATGATTAGCAATACTTTTGTTTTTATGGCAAGAGCAGCTAAAATCTGGTCATTTAGAAGGAATCTCATAAATGTATGCAATTTTTAATATTCATATAGTTTGAACGGATAACATCTAATTTTTCATGCAAGAATGAGTATTTGAAAGAAACTTAGAAGATATTGTTAATTTTTAAAGCAACTGAATAATGTGATTAATTTTTACTATATAAAGTGTCAAGGATGTTAAGAAAGATACAGTTTGGAAATTCATATTCTCTTTCTCCACCTTTTCTCTCCCACTTCTTTTCCTTTTATCTTTCTCCTCTTCCTTTGTGAACTTTTAATATTGTAAGTAGAACTTTAAAATTGACTTATTTTAAAAAATTAAACCTAATTTTGTAACTACTGCTCAAAGTAATATGTGGGGAATATATTCTTTTAGGAGGACATTATGATCTGTTTAGGTTGGTTTTTTTCTTGTAAAAATAATGGAATTTAGTATTATCCTGTTTTGTTGTAAACTCTGTCCTCATATCTTAATTATTTTGTTTTGCTTTTTAGGATACTGGAGAAGCTGGCTGGTGGAAAGGTGAACTTAATGGTAAAGAAGGAGTATTTCCAGACAATTTTGCTGTTCAGATAAATGAACTGGATAAAGATTTTCCAGTAAGCTTTTCTTTTTCATTGATGATAATACTTGAAAAAACATTCTGCCAATATTATTTGGAAAACAAGTTTTTTGCATTATTAGTGAATCATTTTTATGAAGGAGTTTCAGATTTATGTATCCAGGTAAAAGTTATTTGAATTATAATAAAACAAAATGTTTCAGTTCTGTGCCTTTATTCCTGCTCTCCTGAGTATACTGAAAAATAGCCATAGCCTTCTTTATTTTATAATTTTTTTTTTTTT